GCTTCAAAGTGTCCTCCAATGTAGTGTCAAATGATTCTTGCTATAAGGGAGGTGCAAATGGTTGATTTGGAGCTTGTATGTTGTTCCAAAAGTCATGATGAAAGTTTCTACAAGCAGAGTTGTATGTATTTGGTAATGGTTGCAGTGACCTTGGTTAGAGAAACACATGTAGTGTGAGTGCTCTCGAACAAATGTAGGAAACCCATCTCACCTTTGGCAGAATTGAAGGGGATGGCCAATTTTAGCACATAACGGACATTCACCATACATCTTGGTTACAAACTGAAAATCAAAACAAACTAAATTGTAAATGAAAAATCTAAACTAAGAAAACAAAAATAGATAGGGTTTATAAAGCAAGCAATTAGAGGGGGTTGAAATTAGTTCCCCAACAACGGTGCCAAAATGTTGTTGTATTCCTTTCAAGTGCAAATATAAGGATAGTATAATGACACAAGTAAGGGTGTTGAACCACAGGGACTGATTATACCTCTACAAATTACTAGCTTTATGTGAATCCTAACTAAACAATGAAACTAACAAATTGAGTTTTGATTTTGATTTGAGAAGTAAAGTAGCTTAAAATTCAAGAGAAAGTAAATATGAATAATAGAATGATTAAGAAACAATGGGAATGGAACTAGGGATACCGATTTCACCATTACAAGTCAATTCCCTGAAAATTAAGTCAAAACGCATTCAACTCTCCAATCTGCAACTAGGGTTCGTTTTACTTATTTATGATCATCCATTTGATGTGTGGTTGTGATCAAGTACTCCTAATCTGCAATCTAGTGGTGATGTTCAACTTAGATTAGCAAGAATCCATTAAGAACAAGAAAACTTCAAAGAACCAAAGAAATCATATGGCAGGATGTATGCATAGCAGTTTTTTCATTCATTCACATGTCTACCAAGATCAAGCATGATGTGTACTATAACTTTGATTAAATAATTCATAAGCAACCCTAATGGTGATCAAACATTAAGATAAACAAACAAATTAAACTATAAAATTAGTAAATGAAACAAGAAAATAGATTGATGAATTGAATACTTTAATTTAATAACATAGAATAGTTTTGCAAGGGTAAATCGAAATCCCCAACTATGAACTTAATTACAAAACATGATTACAGAATATATAAATATCAAGAGCAACATGAGTGAAATTAAATTCATAGAAGAAATCCCCTTGAAGCAATTATGATGTGGAAATCTTTCAAGAACAGCGCGGCTACATGGTTTTTTCGGTGGTAGCGGATGGCGAAGGGAAACAGGGTTTTATTTCTAGAAGAAAGGCTAAAGAAAGAAAAGAGAGAGCTATAGGCGTCCCGCAAGGGAAAGCTTATGTAAAAGTGGCTAAAACTCTCTGTTTTATAAGGTTAAAGAGGTTGTTATAGAATGCCAGGACATTCCAATAATGGAGCATTTATTTCAGACGTTTTTTGCTGTTATTGGTCTCTTCAAAAGGCCATATTCATCACCATATTCAATTGTACATTTTGAATCTCTCTCTACATCAGAATCCTTATTCAATTCTCCACTTTCAGCACCATTTTGCCTTATTTACCCTCAAATGGCTCTAAAATACAATTAACTGCACATTAACCCAAAATAGAGTAAAACGCAACCAGTTTAACTCAAAAATATCACAAAGAGACCAGGAATGGATGGCATAAATGTTTGAAATATATGAGTTACCATTCAACACCAATGTGTACAGGATGATGTTTGCTCTTATGCTAGGAGTTGATAACCATGGTCAAACCATGGTATTGGGTTCTGCAGGTGGAGGAAATATTTGATAATTAAGTACATTAAGCAACATAATGCATGCATTTTGCAATTAAATGGCGGAAGCATGCTTGTATGCACTTTAAAACAAAACTTAAACCATGAAAGTCAAAGCCTAGTAGTGGTGGTGAACCAAGACTCAACTCAAAGAACAAAGTGAGTTGAGAAACTTTATACATTTGAAGCACCTCTTTGCTTAGCAAAGGTTAATCACCTATGAGAGGGCCTTCTTTCCTTTGCATCCTTGTTCCTTGGATCCATGGATATGGATGAAGGATCTTTGCTTCTTAGCTCCTTGTCTTCTTGAATTTGATTGGAGGAATGGGTTCTCCAAAAGCCACATAAGAAGGAGGCCTCTATGTTTCGGCACCAAGGATGAATGAGGGAAGAATATGACTAACATGGGAGGAAGAAGTTGCTAGAATGCTCCTCCATTAAGGCCAATCTTGAATGAAATTTTGTGAAAAACGAAGTTCATGAAGCAACATAATGCATACATTTAATGATTAAGTCGTAGGAGCATGCTTGTATGCACTTTAAAACAAAACTTAAACCATAACATCCAAAGCTTATTAGTTGTGAACCAAGACTCAACTCAAATATTAAATAAAGGAGTTGAGATTTCTTATACCTTTGTTGAATCCTCTTTGCCTTTGGCCGACACCCCCCTCTCCGGCCTAAGGCTTGCTTACGGTTATTTACTGTTTTGCAGGTTCATTGGATTTGTGCTTAACCACCACTCACGGCGGTACGCGAATTTGGTTCTAACAAAGTCAAATTATTTTGCACCGCTAGTGTAATTGGGCTACCTGTGAAGGTCCAATTCTCTATCTGTTGCACTCCTCTATTCCTTCCTAGCCCATCAGCTTACAGCCCACTCATCAATTCTTTGTGTTTCTCATATTTAAACCTCCAATTCCATGTTTTTGTTCACAACTTATATTTCCTATAATACTTGCACAAAAATCATCAAATTCAACTATTTTAATATAAAACCATGACTAATTAAATAGGCAAAAGAGGTACAAAATATGTGTAAACTAGCATCCTAACAAATACCCTCAAACCTATCATTTGCTAGCCCTTGAGCCAAACCTAAAGCCTAAAAACAAAATATGAAAATAACTATAAAAAAATAACTAAGCCCAATTCCGTTGGCAAAACGATTGCACTAAGTATTTGCAACAAGCCTTTAAACCCCTAGGTGTCCCTAGTAGGAGGAGTTGTGTCTTCCGACGGTTACCCGTTATGCTACCCACAAACACTTTACTTAAAAATGAAGTTGTTAAAGACATCACTTGTATCAATTAATGAAAAACAATGCATGTCAATTACACTTCCAAAACTAAAGTTATACCTTTCTAAGCAAATGCATCACAGTGGAAACCATGTAGCAAATATCCCAAACACTTAGACTTTAAACTATCCACACTTGGTATGTGTATAAAATCGCTTCGACTCTAATTCTTACTAGATATCTCTCTATTTTTTCACAAAACCTAAGCTCTCCTAACAAGCATATGTGATGACTTTATGTAAAGGCAAACAAAATATTATCAAATATGATTAACATTGAAAATGACAATTTCTGAACATAGATCTCATGAAAGGAATCAAATGACACATCTCGACCTCGATAACCATTAAACTAGGGGTCAAAATGTGCTGGCCATCACCAAAATGGTGACAAAGCCATAGGTAATAATTAAAGGATGTGAAAGAATTTGTACTAAAAAGCTCAACATATTGAATTACTAAACTTATCATGCAAGTCACTACATACCTCCCACTGGGGAACACATTAGGTTTCATCCCCATACTTTATCACATCATATTAGAGCATAGTAGTAGTATATACAACAGGTATCATAATATGTATTGTGTATTACATATCCGAAAGTCTAGCTACGCATTAGTACAAACTTAATAAGTAAAGGCAAGAGTAATCACCCTACTTCGTATGAAGACTGCATTCCTGCCAAGCCCACTCGTTGTCAAAGGTCGCCTTGGTTTCACTAGGTCCTGAGGGACGAAAAACAAAGTGTGAGTGGATCATAATCATTTATCTAGTACAAAACATTTCGAAAGTACTAATCCCGTTTTGATACCTGGGATTAAATCCAATCTTAATCGACCTCGAACTTGTTGAGTTTTAACTCGGGTTTCATAGGAGAACTGCATTGAGAACTCGAGTTAGAGTTATTCGCCTTCCAATCACCAGTTCTAGCAAACGAGGCCATCCAACGATTCCTTAGGCCACCCGGATTCCAAATTCATTGTTTGGGGTTGAGATTTGGCTGAAGTTGGGTGGGTGAGGTGGTTGCTCTCGGTGGAAATAGAAAAAGTGAGAGAGAATCGAGAGTTAAAGACGGGGAGAATTTGCATAAATAAGGAAGAAGAAGAGAGAGAGAGTGAGGCCGATGTTAGCCCATTCAAAAATTTTCCAAAAGGAAATTGTGATTTTGCCATTCGCACTCCAAAAATTGAAACTAACCTCCGTGAGTCCAATTCATTTCTGCTTTTTCCCACACACTTGTGGGTATGAACACTAATTTTATAAAATAAGAAAGAAATTGAATCTAAACTCAAAAGTCCATACATATACAATATACCTACACCAGAGGCATTTTGGTCCTTTCACACTACTCGAGAATAACATACATTTATTTAAGGTATGTGTTATAACAGTCTACCCCCCCCCCCCCACACACACACACAAAAAAAATAAAATAAAAAAAAACAAAATTTGTCCCCAAAATTTATACAACTTAACTAGTGGAAAAACCAAAATGCCACTGGTTTAAGGTTTAGGTGGAGATAGAGAGAGTGAGTGTAATACCCTGAAAATTTGATTATATGGAATTTTTTTCATAAAGTGAAATGACGAAAATGTCCCCCTTGACTAAACGTAATTATACAAGGACGTATTTTAACCTCATATATTTTATCGTATTTCTTGGCATATTTGGATAGTGTTCGATCTCATGCACGCATAGGTGTAAACCGTTTATGAAATGGAGTTATAACAAATGAGATATGAACGAGCGAAGTTAGGGGTGAAATGGTCATTTGACAATAATCTAGATTTCTCTAGAAATTGTGAGGTGCCACGTGTATGGCAATGGCTGAGGGAGAAATGGGCACTACCCAATCAGAAAATGGAGTGGAGGGAAAAGAGAGAAAAGAGGAAGGAGAGGGGGGAAGAAACGGGTCACCCTTTGACCCGCACGACCTAGCCCATTTCTCCATATTTTCCGATGGATTTCCAATGAATTAGACCAAGCCACCACTCCCAATCATCATCTATCCCTTCCCTCTTCCATTTCCACCCAAAATTTGAAGGAATTTTGGGGTGAATTTGTGAAAACCCAACGATGGGGCTACGGGTTCATGGCGGCCATTCCTCAAATCTTGAAGCAAAATCCTTCACTTACCACCACCAAAACACTCCTATGTAACCCAGGAACAAAGCTCAAACAAGTTTAGGGGGCGTTGGAGCTGCTATGGAGTCGAAACGAGGACACCCAAATTTTAGGGTTCTGGTGGATACGTGGCAAATTGAGGTGTGTCCCGGCCAAATTGGACTTCACCACAGGTATAAAGTTTGTTCTACTATTTGAGATCTTTATTTCTATAAAATTTGAGAATTTTTAGAAATACTGTAATTTTCCTGCAACTCAGGGCGCTTGATCGCCACTTGCGGTTACGCTTGGGCTGAGGGTCGTCGATGCCAATTTAAGCTAAATTAGATGTCTTGAATTCAAATTTGGTATTTGTATGACGTAGGTAGATCATTTGAACCTAAATTCATTACGATACGTTACTTGGTCAATTTAGGAATCGACAATCCGACCATTGCATCGTCACTAAACTTTGAGACCTTATCGTACGTAATATTTGAGGACCTTAGGAACTTACTGATCAGGAATCCTTCGTATGGATCTTCTCAAATTGGATTTGTAATTTTGTAAAATAAAACGTTGGCTGCCACTTGATTTCGTGATTGGCGGAGATCTGATCGTTAGATCGGAATGAAATTTTTGTATGTTGTTCTAGAAGTGTAAGGGGAACTACGAATGGCTTGATCCCTTCGTGTAGGGTATGTAGTCAGTCTAACCAGGATATTAGATGTAGCCATAAATTTAACAAAATGATTATTTTTTTAGTGTGGTTAGTTAGAATTATAATTAACCATTATTTATTTATGGCCTACCTGTGTGTTTGTCTCCCAAATACAAATTCCAGATCGTTACAGTGAGGGTATAAAAGAGCTTGACAAGTAGCTACTTCTACCTTGTGGTTTCCTCACAATACTTTCACCAAAGGAATTACCTTGTTTCGAAGAGCTTTTTCTGTCTGATCAAGTATGGCAATCAGTTCTTCTTCATAACTCAAGTCCTTTTGTAGTTTCAGTGGTGATGATTCTAAGACATGCGACTCGTCGCACAAAGGTTCTGTTAGTTATTTGATCAAAGTGTTGATTGCGGTACTTACTCCATGGTTTTGCATGACGAAGGTTTTGTCGTGCAAAGTAGTCTAAATTCCTTTAAATAGCTAGTTTCGCTCTATTTCTTCACAATTCAATCCGAAAACTCTTTACTTTCATTGAATTAATATTCCAATTTTTGTTTATTTTTCGGTACGCGATGGTGGACTCTAGTGGTCCTTCGTCAAAGAAAGTTCAGGGCGAAGGTTCTGACAAAGGTAATACGTACTAAATTTTGTTGGTTGTTTAATTAATTAAATATTAAAGTAGACTAATATAAGTTTTTATTTTGTTGGTGGACAAGAAAAAGAAGAGAGTTGCGACATGCGTTTGATATACTTCTTCAGCTAAAAGCCGTTACCGAATCACTTACGTAGAATTAGTACGATATCAGACGTCGGATGCGGTGAACAAGTTTAGGGGCAATGTCGGGGTATTGGTGCGTGACAAATGCAGAGTGAATTGGGAGTCTTAGAAAGACGTCCCCGAGGAGATAAAGACCGTCAAGGTCGATGCATTAGTAGTACGTATAAATTATTAATTAGTTAAATAATAATTTAGTTCTTCAGATAAAATATAATAGTGATATGTATAATTTATTTATTTTTGCATATTAGCTTGATTGGGACATTGAAAAAAGTGATGCAAATTAGATGAAGTGCATCGACGTCATGTTCAAGTATCGTTTTGGGGAGTTGAAGCTTGATGTTGAACGTGATGCAGAGCAGCATAGAGTGGTTGGACCAACGCATAATTATAATAGTTTTTTTTATTAGTCTATTTATGGTTTATTAAATAGTGACACTGAATTATTATTAATTTGGAAGAATAAATTTATATGGGCTGTATTTATTTTGTTTTGTTTCGAGAACAGATTTCCAAAATATTATAATATTGACATTATTTTGTTGAGAAACTGTTTTTGAGACCGAATAAAATAAATATTTTCAGTTAATCGCGCAAGGCTTTAGATAACAAAACTTTTGTCGCTAAAACCTTTGCGGGACGAGATTTCGTCGCACAAAAACACTATGAAACAATTGGTTAGCGTTTAAGGCGTCGTATTTAATGCGTATTACTACTTAATTACGCGATGAAATTTTGGTCGCGCATAACGTTGTGGGACGAAACTTCGTCGTGCAAAGTGATGGTCGGTGGCGTTGAAGTCGTGGCATTTATTGCATATTTATTTCGTACTTTGCACAATGAACGCTTTGTCGCTCAAAGGTTATACAAGTAGGGATCGTTCTTTTGGAAAATTAACTTGACACACAAATTAAAACCTATGGTTGACAACTGTAGTAAAGATGTAAGTAAGGATAGTTCTAAACTGGGGATTAACTAGGGATGCTAATCAACACAAATAAGACTTAAAAACACTAAATTAGACTCTATAGACTTCAAACTGACTCAAAACACTCAAAACAGCAACCAACAATAAAAAAGACTCAATTCTAGACCTAACAAGTGATTTTGACGAGAATAAACTTAACTTGACTCAAAAGATTAAAAGAAAACAGATTATGACTCAACTAACAAGACTCAATGAAAGGGGGATTGTCTTTGACGAATTTAAAACTTAAAACAGAAACTTTGCATAAAAACACTTTATAAAAACGAATTTGGTGAATTGAAAAGGGTGAAAGGCTAGTTATAGGGTCCTTCTCCACACATGACATATGCATACAAACCAATTTCCAGTTATTATTCCTTTAGACTATGAATGACAACACCCCAAGTTAACCGTGATAGCACAAATTAACCATCAGATTTTCCTTAATTCATTGAATTGGATGGAATACGCATCGCAACCAAATTATCCTTATCAAGTTCCCTAACTATGAAAAACATGATAGAAAGACATATCCAAGGTCATTAAGTTCTTTGAAAACTATAAGCATTGACGAGGCATTCATAACTATGAAAAGCATGATACTCCTACCTAGGATTTACTTAACACAATCATGACTAGTGACTTTTACTACTTATGAATATAAGTTCATAATGATTAGGTGAAACTCCCTTATACTCTAGCATCAAGTTCATGCATGCAAATTAAGTATGCATCCTCAATCAACATACATAAACAAGTTTTGATAACTTAGATAAACAAATCACATTCAAGACTCAAGAAACACTAACTGGATGCAATCAATTCATATAAAACATATAATCATGGTTTCGAATTCACCTCTAACTAAAAAGAAATTAGTTCCACATGTTCATAATAATTGAAAAGCAAAGTAAAATAAACATGGAAACGAAACGAGGGAAAGAAGAACTCTGAAAATCTCCAATGGTTGCAGGTGACTTGCGGTACAACCCTTGGATGGTGGCATGGCACAAATCTCCTTTTCTCCTTCCTTTCCTTGCTGCAGCACTTGATGAATTTATGTGAATTGGTGTGAATTGTGGTGTAGAATTATATGGGGGTGGTGGTGCGAAATTGTGGTTGAAAACATGTATTTATAGGCTAGGGTTTTCACAATTTATGAAGGGAAAAGGCCTAAGGTTATGCGGCACCAATTTAGGGGTTCTAGAAGGAGTGTCTTATGGCAGGTTCATAAGCTTCTAGAAAGGGAGAGGCACCACCTTACTAGGGATTCTAGAAAGGATGGTGCAACATTAGTCTAAGACAGGGATAAACCTTCTAGAAGTCAGATATTTAGGTCCCCTTGCAGCTAGATTTAAGGTATGATAAGATTAGGATAGGATAAGATAAGATAAGGTTAGTTTGTATAAGATAAGGTTTTGGATAATGTTTCCTTCGTTTGAGCTGATTCCTTATCTTCTTTGTCTTGAATTGATTTTCTTCATCTCCTTAGCATATTCCTAGCCTTTTGAACTTCAAACACGTCCATCCACCTTGCTCCATACATGTGTTATCCATTCTTGGCTCAAAACTGCTCCAAAATGGTCCAAAATGCACTTTCTTACCAACTTTGTCATTTGGACCTACAAACACACGAAAATAACTTAAATCACTATAATAAGCATAAACTAACTATGTAAATGCAAGAAAACAAGCTAAATAAGTCGCATAAATATGCTCCTATCAAATTCCCCCACACTTAGCTTTTGCTAGTCCTCGAGCAAAACAAAGAAAATAAAACAAACAAAACATAACCTAAACCTTCCAACATTCGTGTCAGGGATTTCCAATGAAACATGACATATTAAAAATACTACTTCCACAGATTTTAGCTATCCTTACCCTCGAGCACACTCTTAATCATAGTCACCACTCACTAGCTCGCATTTAATCAATTTAAAACATGGTTTTGATGGTAGTAACATGCCTTAGAGAATCCCCTCAATTCCTCACTGGAGACACTCTCTATCTTCACATAGATTTTCTAACTACACTCCCTATACTAGGTATATGTGAGAAGATTGATGTAGACATGTAAACTAGCCACTCACATACGTTATAATCAAAAAAGGCACTTTCTGGAATTATTAATGCAAGTATATATATATATGATCTCATGAACGTAATGCCACTACTTAGACGCGAGAACCAGGGATACCATATGCTCATACCAATCTCAAACTCCACAGATTAAAACACATAACACCCAAGATAGAAGTCTAAGGGTTGTAATGGGGCTAAGGGTATTGGCTAACAAAGAAAGGTTAAGGATAAACAAAGGTTCTTAAAGCGATAGTAAGCAAAGTAATGAAATCAACACTTGCAATTTAAATTTTGATTGCAGCAACTAACTTCAAACACCAAGGGGAGTTCGTACATACTTAGGGTCAATTCAAACTTTTTGGACCCTTTCTTCAACAACCAATACTTGTGAGTTCTTTCTCACTTATTTCACAACTTTTTTTTTCTTTCTTTTCCTTCTTTTCACGATTTTTTTTCTATTTTTTTTCTTTTCTCGTGCCCTACTCATTTGGCACATAAAACGTACAACTCAATAGATTTGCAACGAAAGACCTTCCCCTACACTTAGTTTCTGCAATATGTTAATCAAAAGGAATTCCTTCTAAGTTATGCTTCACTATCCTTTAAGAACAAGGGTATGGATAGTCTTATTCTAGGCTAGGTAAGGATAATGTGGCTAACAAGGAAAATAGGCTAAATAAGGCTCAAATGGGTTATACCTCCAAAACAAATGCATGGGATGAAGGCTTTTTGGCTCTGGTGGTAACTGCTAAACAACTTCATCTTGTTATATGTTATGCACTCAATTTTAAGCTTTGAATGAAACGGGCATGAGTTCTAGTATTTGGAACTAAAATGATAAAACGCATTCTAAGTAGCAACCAAGCAAAGAATAATGAGATCATGCAACGACTCTAGAAAACAAAGAAATCATAGATTAATAACTCTCCAAATAAAGTTTAGGCTCAAGTCTCTCAGGGTTGTAGCGTTAGTTTGAGTTCCTTCCTTCAAGCATGTTACAAAAACTAATTTTTTTTTCTTTTGTGATTACATAAACATATGAATTCGTAAACTACAACTATAACCAAGCATAAACAAACACACACAAAAAAAAACGACTCTTTTTGGGTTTTTCAAAACTATTTCAATTTTTGTTTTTTGAATTTTCATATTTTTCTTTCAAAACACACTAAAAACACATAAATACAGTGAGAAACAACTCTAGAGGGGATAGGTGATAAAAACCCACGGATTTTCAACAAAAACACTTGTTTCCCCCCACATTTAAGCCAAACATTGTCCTCAATGTTTTAAACATAAACTCACATATAAACAAGCAAACGACACAACTAACAAACATGACAAGCATGGCATAGTAAAAGCAATAAAAAGTAGGGTTTCGGAACGCAAATTTGGTTGTGATGCTGGAGCTTCCTAGTTCTTCTTTATTTGCATGGGTTGCCTCCCAAGAAGCGCTTTAACGTCCTCTAGCCAGACGATACCTCCTTTTAAGCTTCATTGGTGCCCACGGCCTGCAGGGGTATGTCCTCCACGACATGCTCCATAAAGTGGTCATAATATGGCTTCAAACGATGTCCATTCACTTTGAAATCGTTTCCGGTCTTTAAACTTTGAATTTGGACTGCACCATAAGGAAAGACATTAGTAACGACAAAAGGGCCAATCCACTTAGAACGTAACTTACCTGGAAACTATTGAAGATAGGAATTGAAGAGTAACATTTTATGCCCTACGACAAACGTCTTTGTACGAATCATCTTGTCATGGAATGCCTTTGACTTCTCTTTGTAAATAAGAGCGTTCTCGTACGCCTGGTTCCGAATCTCTTCAAGTTCATTCAATTGAATCTTCCTATTACTTCCAGCCGCATCAAGGTCCATATTGAACATTTTGACGGCCCAATGTGCTTTGTGTTCCAATTCAACCGGAAGATGACATGGTTTCCCATAGATGAGCCAAAAAGGAGACATCCCAATTGGTGTTTTGTAGGTCGTACGATATGCCCACAATGCATCATTCAAGTGCAAGCTCCAATCTTTCCCGTTCGGCCCAACGATCTTCTCTAAAATCTGCTTGATCTCCTGATTAGAAACCTCGGCTTGCCCACTTGTTTGAGGATGATAAGGTGTTGCCACCTTATGCGTGACGTTATACTTCTTGAGTAGCGCCTCAATGATTCGATTGCAAAAATGGGACCCCCCCATCACTTATAAGAACTCTTAGCATTCCAAATCTAGCAAATATGTTAGTTTTCACAAAATCTGCAACCACTTTGGAAGCATTAGTACGGGTGGCTTTGCTTCCACCCATTTCGAAACATAATCAACCGCAAGTAAAATATAAACAAAATCATGAGATAA